AGAGACTTTTCGAAAATGTGCTGCTTGGGGACATTTATTGAGCATTTATTAAGAGTCAGATACTTTGCTAAGCATGTTACATTTATTAACTTTTCAAAGTCCTCACTATAGTCTTAACAAGGAGCTCTGGTAGCATTGTAGTTACAGGTTGGGCTGCTGACCTCAGTGGCAGCAGTTTGAAACTATCAGCTCCTCTGCAAGAGAAAGATGAGGCTTTCTGCTTCCGTAAAGATTTATAGCCTTGAAAACCCTGTGCAGGGCTGCTAAGAGTTGGAATCAACTCCATGGCACACCACCATAGTCCTAAGGTTAGAGTGCTGATGTAGCACTGTAGGATAAGCACTGGACTGCAAGGTCGGTGGTTCAGACCCACCAGCCGCTCCTTAGAAACCCTATACAGGGTCACTGTGAGTCAGAATTGACTCGACAACACTTAACAACAACATAGTCCTAAAATTAGCTGTTTTAGTCTCATTTTTTTTAATTCTTTAAACTTTTTATTGTGATTTGGGCATAGTATTCCCATTTTTGAGATGAGATTAACCCACCTATCTAAGTCACACACTTAGTCAATGTGATAAAAAGCATTTTGCATCTTTTAATAGGAAGTTTTGGATGTGGAGTGGTCTAGAAATTTAAAACAGTTTGCCAACTTAATCCCTTATTTTAGATCAGGTGTAGTATACCTAAGTGGAGACTTTTATGATATTCAGTTTCTGAAGAACTGGATAGGCATAGAGCTTAGATACATTTGGGAACATGCTCAGTTATTCTGTGTTTATGAACATTTTTATTCACCTTTTACCCTGAATTGGTTCATTTTTTAATGATTCTGTTGTGAGGCTGGCACAGAACTGAACATTGCTTTGTTCTGTTGTTCATAAGGCTGCTATGAGTTGGAACCGACTCATTGACCCTTAAACAACAACATCAAGTGTTTAAAGGAACCCTGGTAGTTAAGTGCTCAGCTGATAACCAAAAGGTTGGTGGTTCAAACCCATTGGTTACTCCACAGGAGAAGAATGTGGCAGTCAATTCCCATAAAGATTTATAGCTCCAAAACCTTGTAGGGCAGTTCTCCTCTGTCTTACAGGTTCTCTGTGATCAGAATGGACCCTACAGTGGTGGGTGGGTCAAATGTATAGTGGGTACTATTGTTGTTAAGTGCCGTGGAGTCGGTTCTGTCTCATAGTGACCCTGCACAGGGTTTCCGAGGCTATAAATCTTTACAGGAGCCAGAAAGCCTCATCTTTCTCCCGCGGAACCAGCTGGTAGTTTCAAACTGCCGACCTTGAGGTTAGCAGCCCGATTCGTAATCACTATGCTACCAGAGCTCCTGATAGTGGGCACTAGATGTATATAAACTTTGCTTGGTAGTAAGTAGAATAACGCCAGACTTACCCGTGATTAGGACTCTTGAAATGAATAGACACATTAAGTCCCGCTATAACATACAACTAATTTGGAAAATATTTTTAATGAGATTTGTTTTGGGTGATATTGAAAGTCTCTTGGAGTGCGCTGTAAAGGGAAAACTTTTTTGAAAAAAGACAGACATTTCCTGCGATGTAAAATAATCCGGAGTTATTTCGTGAGGCAGTCTTACAGTGTACATTGTTTTAACAACAACCCCCAAACTCCCTGGAGCTCTCTACCATGTTACCAGGCTAATTGGCAGAGTGTTTGTTTATGGGAATTTGATTCTGGGTTTTGCGCTACTTAGTATTTTCATACATTTATAATCCCTCTCCAAGTTTTTCCAATGTCTTGCTATATAAGTCAGCTCTGTCCAAGTTTGTTAGGGTTTCAGCTAACCAGAGAAAGGACTTTTCATTGCTGAGATTCTAAGCAAGACCATTAAAATGAAAGCATTCGTGAGGATGCTAACTTACTTTGCTCCACGTTGGAAAGCCCTGCTGACAAGCATGAAAGTTGGCACCTGCAGCTCCCAATCACAGAGGAGCCAAAACATGCTGTTTGCTGTTGGAGCTGCTCTCCGACCCTCCCTCAACCCTGAAAACACAATCATCTCAGATACGGTTACAACATTATAATTAGAAAACATGATTAAAGTTATTTTAGTATATGTGGTATATATGTCATACTAAGGGGAACATGGGGGCTCCATACAATAAGCCTTGGACCGTGAATCCCAGGGTCCCTAGTTGCAGCCCGTCAGCTGTTCCACAGGAGAAAGGTGAAGCTTTCTGCCCTCTCGACGATTTATAGCAGGGGTGGGAAGCCTTTTTTCTGCTAATGACCATTTGGATATTTATAAGATCTTTTGCAGGCCATACAAAATTATCAACTTAACCTGCTGTAGTTGGTCAGGCATTTATTTAATTAACTCATCCCTAATGTGATGGCTAAGGAGCTCTGGTACCGTAGTGGATTACAATCTGAGCTGCTAATCACAAATTCAACAGTTTGAATCTACCAGGTGCTCTGCAGAAGAAAGATGAGGCTTTCTGCTCTCTTAAAGATGAACAGCCTCGGAAACCCTATACAGGGTCGCTATGAGTTGAACAGACTCCACGGCACATAGCCACCACCACCAATGTGATGGCTGGAACTGAGGTTGCTTTGGCAGGTCCAGACTAAATGATTTTAAGGGCCTTATACAGCCCGCAGGCCTGATGTTCCCCACCCCTGATTTAAAACCTTGGAAACTACAGGGTCCTTATGTGTCCAAACTGACTGAGCGGCACGAAACAGCAACATGTCATACTAAACAGTCTTTAATAAAACGTTTGAAGTCTCTCAGACATTTAGTAAAGGATCTGCTTTTTCTTTCCGACATGTGGGCATTCTTTGATTAGGAATCTAGGTTTCCAGTTTAGGGTTTTTTATTTCATCACCATCATCGTTATTTATGTAGTAAATTTTTTTTCCCTCTGTGGTAAGTTCCACAAAGGCAAAGGACTTTTTTCTGTGTTGCCGTTGGTTTCAACTCAGTTTCTCAGTGTCTGGCACGTGGCAGGCCCTGCCTAAATGTTTGCTACACAGTCACTAACTCATTTTGTTGACTATGTAAGATGAGAGATCTCAGTCATCTAAAACCTGCCTCTATTTAAAGTATACAACTGGACCCTTCCCTGTGGGATGAAATCCATTCTGCTCACCTCAGAATTCTTTACCTATTTGGAGGGAGGGGTTCCCAAACTCTACCCAAATTTACTCCATTGAATGCTGCCTGATAGAAACAGTGGCCAGTAAGTTCCGCAATAATTAGAGTTCAGATTATGGGGTATTTCTGATTTAAATGTAGCCTTATACATATGAGGAGGCTTAGTGTGGCATTGTAGGATAAGCACTGTCGGCAATTCAAACCCACCAGCTGCTCCTTGGAAACCATATACAGGATTGCTATGAGTCAGAACGGACTCGATGGCACTTAACAACATACGACAGTGCTTCAGGAAGTTTTGGAAGAGTGGAATGAAAAGATAATGGAATTTTTCCACGATTTTGGAAGCGCCCTCAAACATACAGTAAGGAGCCCTGGTAGGGTAGTGGGTTACTTGTTGGGCTACTAACTCCCTGTGAAGATTTTCAGCCTCAGAAACCCCATTACAGGGTCCCTGAACGGAATTGACTTGAGGGATGCAGCAGCAGCCGTCTGTAATGCTTTAAACTTTAGGGCTCAGATCTTTTTTCTTAAAATGCTTGGCTTCCTTTGGATTTTACCCACGTTATGATGGCTGTGAAGCCCATTTACTGCACTACAGCTGATTTCAGATACTTTCCCAGGGCTACAGGGTGTACCACCAAACTAGCTATTTGCCTTTAATCCACAAAGACTTTCCTCCACTACTCAGATGTGATGACATTATTCTAAAGGTCAGACCCTGTTGCATAAAATTTCAGTGAGGTGTTGAATAAAGGGACTTTATTTGGTACTTGGAGACATTTTTGTAGCCATGGAATTTTATTGCAGGAAGATAATAAATTCTCTTTTATTTTCAACTGTGTTGAATAACTATGCTTTTGTCCATGATGATGATTACTCAGCTTCTCACAAGAAAAACAGAGGTTGAATAAAGGTAATCGCAAAGGAATTTCTCTCTCACATCTTTCCAGTTACTCATTTATGCTCAAGGCATAGCAGCCTTGTATCAACCTGAGTCTTTGATTCATCCATTTGGAGCTATTTAAGACCTACGTTGTTCCAGACTCCAAATATACAGCATACAAGAAAGATAACACCCACCTGTAGGATAGGGGTTTGGGTCTTTTTCCCTGTCAAAACTTGCTAGTTTGGAAGGTTGGGAAACAATGTGGTAAATGGATAGCTACATCAAGATTTCTGACTTTAACTCTATCTTAACCAAAGAAACAATTTGCACAGTCCAATTTGCAATAAAACCGAAAGTAGGTGGCTGGTGCGGGAAATTTTAAATCAGGCCATGCTTTTCAGCACCCTCTCTACCATACATGGGAAGGACCATCCTGTGGGTAGATCAGAATCCTTCTAGTCTCGTTTTCAGGCTCAGGAATGGTCCTTGACTTTCTGGCGTGAAAAAGAACTCTGGCCTCTTGTCTGTTTTCCTTTAACTCTCAGATTAGATCAGGCTGTACAGTAGATTTGGAGAGGGCAGTGTGTTCTGAATTACTGAGCTTGTAGATGAAGATGTATTGGTGCTTCATAATATCAACTTGTTTATTTTGTATGGCTCATGTTGCTTCCTGCCCACACCTCCAGTGGCATTACTCTCCTTTATTCCTTGACAGTGAAGATGTACACGTGTGTGTTGTGAATGAACGTGTGTTGTTTGCAATCTGTAGCATGGTACGGCTTTTCTGTTTCACTGTTGCCCATGTTATGCATGTCTTGTAGCTGTTGTGGATTGTTTTGTTGCATACTTATGTGTGTGTATATATACATCCTGTGTGTATATATAATTGAAACAAATAAAAAAGCATGCTGCTTGACCTGACTAGCTCATGTGTGTAAATTGCACCTGGTAAACTTTTTTTTTTCTTTCAAATTCTGACCTTAGAGGCATTGTGCTCTCTTTGCTCAGATGAGACACCTCCAGAAATTGTGACTTCTTCCTGTATTTCATCTTCTGAAATAGATAACACTGACCTCACAACCCTACATGGTGAAAAAAGTCACATGCTAGGCAGCAAGCCTATTTTAACCAAAGAAGGAAAAGACTGCTTGACTCTTCTGGATGCGAACAAGGAAAAGCCCCAGGGGACAAGGAAAGACAGATCAGACGTTCCAGTTACTGCTGAAGGAGGAGGTCATTGTAACCGTCCTTCCATCCCAGCCAGTTTCCCAGAGCATCCGGCTTTTCCCTCAAAGGAAGTTGGTCAGATGGAAATGCATAAAGATCAAGAGGCCAAGAACCGAGACGAGGTACCAAGTAAAACTGCCTTGGATGCCGGTGACAAGTTCACTCTGCTAACAGACCGGAAACCAGCCACCGCACAGTCTAAGGCAGAAGGCATTTGTACCCATTCTGCATCCCCATCCAAAGTTTCGGGAGGTGATGTTATTGACAAAGATTCCCCCGAATCGCCATTTGAAGTCATTCTTGACAAAGCAGCATTTGATAGAGAGTTTAAGGACGCCTATAAAGAGAGCACAAGTGGTTTTGGTAGCTGGGTGATGCACACTGATGGAGAATCATCTGCAGACCTTGCTGAGACAAAAGACAAAGTATTTCCACTGAGGAGTAAAGAGATGGGCCGCTACCCAGCCTCGGCTTTACTCACTCGACAGTTTTCACATACGACTGCAGCCTTGGAAGAGGTGTCCAGATGTGTGAATGATATGCATAACTTTACCAATGAAATACTGACCTGGGATTTGGTTTCCCAGGCAAAACAACAGTCTGATAAATCTGATTACATCCCCAAAATGACAGGACTTGACACGGGTGAATATAATTCAGAAATCCCAATTGTAAATCTTAAAACTAACACGTGTCAGAAAATTACTGTATGTTCCATTAATGGCAACAGTCCTGCCACTAAATCAGCAGGTGGATGGTCAGAAACATGTCTCCCACAGGAAACGGCCACACCAGGCTACCTTGATTCTACAAAAGAAATCGGCCTCAAAAGCACGCGAGGCAGCATGCAGGAAGAAAACGACACACTTTCAGAGTTACCTGGATCTTCCTTTGAGAAATGTGTGGCTTTGGGTTCTGGAGGAACTGCAGTGAAAATGACTTTGCCTGATGCCCACCTGAAAGATGAAATGAACTGGCAGAGCTCTGTGTTGGGGGAAATAACAGAGGCTGATAGCTCTGGCGAGTCTGATGACACAGTAATAGAGGACATCACAGCAGATGTGTCATTTGAAAGTAACAAAATTCCGGCCGAGAAGCCTATTTCCATTCCGAGTGCAGGTGTGAAAATAGGTGAGAGAGAGATCAGAGAGCTTCCCAGTTGTAGTAGAGGAAACAAAACATGTAAAAATTTTGAAGAGGCCATGAGTGACTCAGAGGCACAGCCAGCTCAGCCTGGTGGACTTGGCCAGAGTCCAGTTGATAAGGTGGCCCATTCACAAATACCTGATCTGAACGTCATAGCAGAAGATGCGAAGCAGCCCCGCAGTGTGAGTGAAGTTGCTTCCAAAAAGCCCATTTTAACTGAGGATAATGAGACAGAATTCCTCTCTCTAAATATGACAACTTCTGCCTGTTTGGAATCATCCTGTGGGAGAAATGTTGTTGAAGATGTAGATGATTCCTCCCCAGAGGATCTGAAAGCAGCCTTTATAGAAACCAGAAAGAAAGGACTAGTGGTTAAAGATGAAGGAAATGCCTTTGAAGCAGTTTCAGAGAAGAAGGCAGACTTTAGAGCAGCTCTTCCTGTAGAAGTCTTGCATGGAAGTGAGTCACGTGGCTCGGAAGTTAAAGGCATAAGAAGCACGTATATTGAACAAAGCAAAGAAACAAATGAAAGTGAGCGTCAGGAGTTTTTCCCTGTGCCAGGTACTCCAGTGGTATCCCTTGACTTGGAACAAGAGCAGCTCACAATCAAAGCCCTTAAAGAGCTCGGTGAAAGACAAGCCAAGGAATCAGCCTCTCCCCCAGACCAAGTAAAATCTCCTTCTGAAGAAATACTTCAGCACACGCGCACTTTTGCTGCAGACTCTGGTTGGCCACAGAGATCGTGTGACATCCTAGAACACATAAATGGCAAGCCTAAGTCTGATCTCAGGATGTCCGAAAAGCCTGCTGTTGTCAAAGAGACTACTAGGGTAGATACAGTTTCCAACCTTAGCAAGACTGAACTGGTAGACAAGCATGTCCTAGCAAGACTTCTGGCCGACTTCTCAGGTAACCATTTATATTAGAAATACTGCATGGGGCTAATTCGGCTCTGACTGCTGCCTTCTAAGAGAACGGTTTCTCTCAGACTGTGATTTTTATTTAGAAAATTATAGCTAGGATGCAAACACTGTTTGGTGGGAAAAGGTTTACAATGTTTATTTTTAAATCTCTGTAATAAAAGCACTACTTAGCACGTGGGCTTTTTTGATGTGAGCCTTGTGAAATCTGTTCAGCAAAGTTAAGGAATTCCTGCTGGGAAAGACAGTAAATGGAACTTTTAATTACTATGATTATGTACCACAGAGGTTTTTATCACATACCACAGAGGTTTTATGCTCTGAAAGTAGGTAGCCCGGTACTGGAGTAGTATTTTGAGAGTAATTCTTAAAGCGAGCAGATGCATTCTTCTACTGTGGACCTCATTTTATGTTCTTGAAGCTGGAACTAGATGCTTTTTCCTTATCCTCTGCTTACTTGACTTAGCACTTTCCTAGCAGTTGACTTTTAGTTCAGTGACTTCAATTGACGTCTGTTCTAGGGCTTATTTTAAAGGATTTTTAAAGCCCCCCCCCCAATAAGAGTCCCCCACGACTCATTTAATACCAGGTTTTACACATAATGTCTGCTCATTGCTAGCAGTACAGTAGAGTCCATGTTTTTCAAATTTTAATGAGATTTTAGGATTAAAATTAATTTATAGGTTTGATCATACCATACTTTTGATAAAGGCATTTCCTATATTGAAGACAATTACTTGCTCTTCTTAAATTTTAAGGTATAAAATGGAGATAATCTTTGTCACTCCCCTTCTAATGGTGTGGTGGGAATTAAATGTGAAAATGCACGTAGTGTAGTGCCTGTTGTTGTTAGGTGCTGTAGCAGTCGTTCTGAGTCATGGCGACCCTGGACAGGTTTCCCAAGGACCGACTGGTGGGTTTGAACCATCAGTGTTGTGTTTAGCAGTCCAGTGCTTATCCTATACTCCACACAGCATAGTAAATGTTTGTCAGATTTAGCACCTAGTACAGGACCTGCCCCATAGTAGATACCAGATAGGTATTTGTTGAATGGATTGCTGTTGTTGTTAGGTGTTGTCGAATCGGTTCCTACACATAGCGACCCCTGTGCACAGTAAAACACTACCCTGTCCTGGGCTAGCCTCACCGCTGCTGCTGTGCTTAAGCCCGCTGCTGCTGCCACTGTGCCAGTCCATCTCGTTGGGGTCTCCTCCTTTTTAGCTAAACCTCTACTTTATCAAGCACGATGTCCTTCTCTGAGAACTGGTCCCTCCTGATAATATGACCTAAGTCTGACTATCTTGGTTTCTAAGGAGCATTCTGGCTACATTTCTTCCAACACAGATTGATTTGTACTTCTGGCACTCGATTCCTGGTACCTTTAATATTCTCCTCCAACACCTTAACTCAAATGCATCAATTCTTCTACGGTCATCCTTAGTCACTGTCCAAATTTCACATGCATATGAGGCTATTGAAAATCCCATGCCTTGGGTTAGGTGCGTATTATTCCTCAAACTGACATCTTTGCTCTTTAAAGAACACATTAAAGAGGTCTTAAATGGATTGTTGATCATTATCAGTGAAAACATCAAGGCATTTTACCGTCGTAATTGAAGATCACTGAACTTGGATTAAGGAGTGCTAGATTACAGTTTTTGTTTTCTATGTCTAGAAGTATGGCCTTGAGTAAGTAAGTTCCCAAACATTTTGAGGCCTCAGTTCCTTATCTGTAAAGTGGGGGGATGTTGAAGTAGCTGTCTTCAGTATCATTTCAGTACTATGATTCGCCGACTGCATTTTAGTTTCTCCTTGATTTCTTGTTATAATTCTTAAAGGAAGTTCTTGTGATCAGTGTGGCATATAGAAATTTAAGCTGCAAGAACTGTACTTTTTAATTCTGGGAAATTCTTCCCTTTAGCATGACCTTAGACAACTGGTATAACTGGTTCACGTCTTCTTTTGTAATATGGTGGTGGTAATTATGTTGCCCTGTTTGTAGGCTTTTATAGTAAGTACATAACTCCCTTCAGTGGGTAGATGGGGTTATTGTGACTTATAGTGACCCTGTAGGGAAAAGCAGAAGTCTCTGTAGGGTTTCTGAGACTGTAGATCTTTACGGGTGCAGGCAGCCTCATCTCTCTCCCAAGGAGCAGCTGATGGATTTGACTTACCGACCTTGCAGTTAGCAGCCCAGCGCTTAACCCATTATGCTACCAGGGCTCTTTATAGTACATAAAATACTATGTAATGTAAACACTAATTAATTAGTAGTAATTCTTATTGAGTTACTGAATCTACTGTGAGAAATTAAAAGGGTTGTGGAATTTCAGGATATTTGTCACTAACCAAATTCTATAATTAGCAGATTCTGCATAGATGGTAATTTGCTTTAGTTAGACCGAGAAGCTGAAAGGTCTTCCGTTTGGCAGGTTTTGAAATGGAACACCTTTTCAAATGGTCTTCATTCTTGAATAAACAACAACAACAAAAACTCACTGCCATGAGGTCAATCCTGACTCATTGTGACCCTGTACCCTGCATTGGGTTTTCAAGGCTGGAAATTTATGCAGGAGCAGAAAGCCGCCTCTTCCTCCCACGAAGTGGCTGATGGGTTTGCGCTGCTGACCTTGCATTGACAAGTCTAGAGCTTATCTTACTTACAGCCTCACAATTTAATGAATAAATCTTTAAAAATGTAAACCATCCCTGGTTTATATTAATCTCTAGTTTCAGAAAGTATATCTGAATAGTATTCCTTTCTTATACAGAACCAGTTCTACAGTTAACATTCTGCCTAAAATTTGGGGGAAAATAAGTGAAAACAAAAATATTTTTCTTTTGTTGTTTTATGGTATTATATACAAGTGCCTAATGAAACCAAAGTTTCATTCCGTCTAAGATGATATTCTGATTTGTTCAATAACTCAAGTGTGATAGACTATTATTATTTGTGGATAAAAAGAAAATTAGACCCTTGCCTCACATACTGGAGTCTCTGTAGTGGCACAAATAGCTAACTACGCTCAGTTGCTAACTGAAAGGTCACAGGTTTGAGTTCACCCCAAGAGACTCCTCAGAAAAAGTCCTGGTGATTACTGCCAAAAAGAAGGAGCCACTGAGCATCCTGGGTATCACGGCTCTGCTCTGGCACACATGGGTGTAAGAGGTGGCATAGATTCTGTGCACTGTTTGTTGTTTTTCTTACAGACTTAATTGTCTTTGTTGTGTATCAAAATTAGCAAAGATGCAAGGATATAGGTAGGCATATAACTAACTTGTTGTATTGTTCACTGCCATCGAATCCATTCTAATTTATAGCAACACTATACAGGGTTCTGAAGAATAGCTGGAGGGTTTGAACCGCCGACCTTGTGGTTCACAGTCAAGTGCTTATTCTACAACACCACACCAAGTTTTTTTGTTTTTTAAGGTTTTATTGTGAAATATGTGATAGTTTACATGGGAGAACATTATCTTTACGTTCGTCCTATCGTATTTTGTTTCAATGCAAGAATAGTTTAATCATATGTAACAAAGACATAGAATTAACTTAGCTTTTTTTCCCTAATAGTTAATCCTAAGGAAAAAGTAAGTTCAAAAACCGCTAGAAAGATAGTTGCTGTGGCATTATCTATGCTAGAGACCAAAGTAGACCAAGTTTCGCTGCCTTAGCAGTTGGAAACTGATTGGGTGTGTTGCGCCATAGCCGTGCAGCAGAGAACTGTGCCGCCATCTACGGAGTATTAGTAGTCTTTTTCCCCTCAAAAACTTTTTTCTCAAAGAATTGGAAAAGCATAGAAAGTACAAAGACATACGGACACCCATATTTCTAGTAGATGTACAAGTAACTTCTCGTAATTGTTAACATTGCTGGTCATATTTGCTTCCAAACTGAAACATGTGACCCCTCCCTTCTCTCAGTCCTCAGAGACAATCCCCTATTGACACACATAGCAAGGGTGTAGCCGAGGCAAAAAGGGCCCGGTACATCCCTTCAATGTGTGTAGCTGTAGTATTGTTGTCTGAGTGTTTTTTAAACTTTTGTTAATATTACCTACAAAATATTATATAATAGTTTGTTGTGTAACTTTTATCATTCAACACTAGGTGTTTAGACTCCATTCATGTTGAAATATGTGTAATTCTATTCCTTTTAACAGCTATAGTAGTCCTTTATGAAGATTTCTCCTTTAATGGGATTTTTTATTTTCCATTTTTTACTGTTGTAGACAGTGTCAGAGTTGGCATCCTTCTACTCACCTGTTTTTGCACATACACAAATATATCTAGAATGTGCACTAATGTCACTTTGCTCTTACAGTTAGAGTGCCTGCTGTTATGTGGAAAGTGCTTATCATTTATTAATGAAGACCACATATTGAACAGTTAGCAGAAGTTTTGTTAAAAGGGGAATACGTAAAGGAGGGAGGGGGAAGTGAATTATAAAACAAGATCAGAATGATCCCTATTTTGATGTGACTCAAAGTGAATCTATACACAGTAAATTTTAAATCACAGGGCACAATGGTTTTTCTTTTGGTATGGCCAATTAGTAAGCGCTTACTGTACCTTACCTTCCTGGGTATAGCCACTAAAGACTCTGGAGAATGAACAAAAGCAGGCAGATTCTGAAAGAGGCTTGAATTTGTAAGAAGAGACTGCATGAAATTTGTTACCCATTTTAATTGCTTTAGCCAAAAAGCAGGCTGATGTTGACATCAGGCAGGTTGGATTTAAAAAACAAACAAACAAAAAACAACTTACCGTCTAACCTAGAAGACAGAATCGGGATCACACAGTTAGTTAGCCAGGAAAGTCCTGGAAGGAAAGAGCCAGCGATTGAGAGTCTAGCGTTCTGCCCAAGCCTCTGATCCTTGAACCACATACAAACGTGTGCAAGCAGCCTGCTAACAGCCTCGCCCGAGATGAACTGAACTGAGTTTTGGGTTGACTGCCCAGGAGACAGAAGTTTGCAGTTTCAGTCCA